AAGCTGGGAGGTTTTAAAGAGTGCTAAGGGAATTATACAAATGAATATATGAATGAATTAATTATTTGATTGTACCTCTGAAGGTTCTGACTGTCTTCAGAAATGATTCGATGGCATTTTGTTTTCATCTTCGCTCCATGTAATACCTAAAGGAATTAATCGCAATACTGCTTTGTCCACGGAGGTTACGGGAAACAGCTGTAATTCAGTTTTTCCATAAGCGCCACCTGCTGTCAGTGAGTGGATTTACAGAGACTTATATTTACATGCAGCCTGTGTGCGGTTTCTGTCTGGCCAAAAACGGACCGAATTTGCATGCCCTGCTGTAAATTTTGACCGGTTGATGAAAAACAGTGTGGATTCTACACATTTGAACTATTCAGATAAGTTATCTAGAATTATTTATGGAGCAGATAAAATACATGTAATCATTTATTAATCATTTATCATTTTGACATATCTTTTCTTTGTTTAAAGGCTGAAATGTGAGGTTTACCTTTTTATGAAACTTTTTCAAAGCTTTATTTGAACATTTACATTAGATATTTCAACATGCTATTAAACTGTTGTCAGTCAAGTTGTCATTTAAAATCCGAACATCATTGGTAATGTTATTGTTTTAGTGATTATGCAAACAAAAAGTCATTTTATTTGTTGTTTGTTGATTTTTAAATATAAAACTTGGTGAAGTGATTTATGTGTCGGTACTATTTGAACATCTCCAGCACATTTTAACAATACCGTGTTAATACTGATAACCGTGATCATTTTGGTCACTATAATCGTGATAAGAAATTTTCATACCGTTACATCCCTAACTGAGACGTTCCCTATCTGTCAGTCACTACGAGTTATGTCGTGACGACATTAGGGGTCTATGGAAAACTCCACAACCTGAACACAGTCACAACCCTGAGGCGCTGCAAATGTTGACAAGCTGTAGCGTGTCAAGACAAAAGCTACGCTAAGGTTGTAACCTTCCCAAAGCCCCAGCGCAAATTCACTGACCTTGGTACTGCAGGGGACCAACGGTGAGTACATCGCAGCTGGAGAAGGCCATGCTGCTGTTCCGACCACAAAAAAGTTTTTGGAAGGGCTTTTCAACCTTCAGTGAAAGATTGCTTCAAATCTTCCCTATTTGTTCCTTCAGCCTGGCAGAGCGATGGGGAAGCAAGCCTTCAGGAAAAGGTCGCTACAGAGACCACATCCTACCTGTATGGGATGGAACAACTGAGAAGAGACTGACAGAGCGGGTCTGTCAAGGGAAGACCGAGCCAGTTCTTCCCGCCAATTACCTGTTACCCAACACGGGAAGAAACCGGCTCTACAGGAAGGTTGTAAAACCTTGCAAAGGTGTTAGGGGTCGCCCAGCCCACAGTTCGACAGATGTCCACCAGAGAGGTGCTGTGCGCCAACGCCGAGGAGGAGGCAACACTCTGTGTGGAGTGAGCTCTCACCTCCAGGGGGCACGGCTCGCCTTGGGATTGGTACACCAAGGCGATGGCATCCACTATCCAGTGGGCCAACCTCTGCTTGGAGACAGACACTTTTGTGAAGACACGAGGGGACAGGGAGAGCCCGAAGGAGATGACCTTGTACTGCCATGCCCAACCCTCGAAGCAAACCGTAGGAACCGTAGGAACATCACCCTGTGATGAGGAAGGATCGGACGATTCCTCCAAGTGGCGGCGTTTTGCGGGCAAGGGTGCACCGCAACCGCTCTCTCCTCCTGGGGAATGTCTACGTACCCCCTGGCTGCCCCGCCATCGAGGGTAGTGAGGACGGATAAGGGAGACGAGCGGCTTCTGGCCATAAAAGGGGCCGTCCACAATTTCGTCACCTCTTCCTGCACCTCCTGGAAGAAAGGAACAGGAGCAGAACGCGGTTGTGAGACGCACTCCGCGCTGAGAAACCAATCATCCAGCCGCGAACGCTCAGGGCTGGGCGGTGTAGTCACCTCCAGCCCGATGCTCACGGCTGCCCGGGCAAGCATGGCCAACAGCTCTGGGTCCGATTCGGCAGTGGCGACAACACCTGAGGGGGGCTGCCCTGCCGAATCTTCATCCTTAGAGGCCGATAGCCTATCCCCCGATGCTGCGATCAACATCTGATCCTCCGGCAGCGGACCGAATGACACGCTGGGACCGCCGTGAGACGGCCCAGCAGAATGACTCGGCAGCCACATAGGACATGCGCTGCGGGAGGAGTGAGAGGTCCATTGGGCGTGGCCCGGTGGAGAAGCTCTCACTGTAACTCTCAGATCTCCCAGATCACTAGTGACAGAGGGGTCTGCTCCACTCCCCTTAAGGAGAGAGAGACGCGATCGCAGCGATGCCTTGGTCATACACCCACAATAGACGCATGACTCATCCACGAGCGCCGCTTCAGCGTGCTGAAGGCCCAGACACTGAAGACAGCGATCGTGGCCGTCGACAGAGGACAGGAAACGACCGCATCCAGAAGGACAGGGACGAAACGGCATCTTGAAAAAGACGCGAATCGTCCGTGATTTGCTCTTTTAGAGGAAACTGCTCTTTTAGTTGAATCGCTGCTGACAGGGACACCGCTGTAACGCGCCGTAACACCAACCTGGAACAGCCTCTCGCACACAAAGATGAAATGGCTTTGTAGTAAGGTGGATACCATATACTACTTGGCTCCGAAGCAAAAATCTAATGAGTGGATGCACGCTGTCGCCTGCATGCAAAATCCACAATCCAATTTTCATTGGCGTTTTCTTTTTAACTCAGAGATGATTGGGCTCCCAAGTTAGACCCCTAATGTCGTCATGACATAACTCGTAGTGACCGACAGATAGGGAACTAAATTATATATAGTAAACATACACAAAACAAGTGTTAATTGATAATAGGTAGAATCTTCTGCAGTAATGCACATTCTCTCCTCTGAACATAACATAATAATGAAATTTACTTTACAGATAAAGAAAGGCCACAAATCAAGCTTATGCATTAAAAGTTCAAAGAATTAAGTTGTTGAAATTATGCAGCATTTTATATTAAACACTTCAAAGTAGGGATGCACCGAAATGAAAATTCGAATGTTTGGATTTCAGGTGATAAATTAAACCCGACGTGGAGAAAGTCTTTGCAGATGCACCCCCTCTTGAAATTTCGGCATTACATGTTTTGCAAATCGCTGTCCGTGGGTCTTTCTCAGATATACTGAAATACGTCCACACCGCAGACATGTTGCTTCAGACAAGCACGTGCAGGTCGCGGTTTCTGTTTGCGTCATCACAACATTTCGGCCGTATTGTTTCGGTGATAAAAGTCTTTCGGCCGAGAAACGGAAAATGCACTTTTGGGCCATTTTCGGTGGCCGAATATTCGGTGCATCCCTACTTCAAAGATGGTTGAGCATATAGTTTCATTTGGTCAAAGTGCTTGTGCCATTGAATGTGCTTTTGAGGGTTTTGTTCTTATCTGTAAATATTATAAAACTGTTACAGTTCTTGTAGAAATATCGTTACTAGTTTTACATGTAATTTTTTTATTACATTTAATGAATTTTACATTAATTTACATCTAAATTTAATGTCCAACAACTAATATTCACTTGCATTAATTTTTAATTTATATAATTTACAGATAAGAACAAAACCCTCAAAAGCACATTAAATTGCATAAGCACTTTGACCACATGTAACTATATGCTCAACCATCTTTGAAAGTGTTTAATATAAAGTGTTCCATGCTTTCGACAATGTAGGTCGTGCACTTTTAACGCAGCAGCTTGCTTTGTGGCCTTTCTTGATCCATAATGCATTTTTCATGTCAGAGCTGTGGCACAGAGGGTAGTTGCTCCAGACATATGGAATACTGTTGCGCTCATGGGGGCCTGGGTTCGAGTCATGTCCCAGTCCTGGTCCCTCTCTCTCTTCCTGTATTTTCTTGTTGCTTCTTCACTATCCTGTTAAATATAGGTATTGCAGTAGCTACTCATTCACACATTAGCATATTTTATCTTGGTAGCTAGCTACCTACCTTTCAGTCTCTCAATCCTCTGCAAGTCTCAGTGGCCACATGATCTCAGAGCAAATCTGAGGTTCCCAAGAAGATCTAAGGTAGTGAAATGTCCACCCCAGCTAGTCTGTGACATTTTGGATGCGATCAAATCCATTGGCTAGTCTAGCCTGTTTGTCAGGTCGGTATATGGTAATTTCCCTTGTCAAACAAGGATTAATCAGTAAAACTTTACTGGGGCACAGCAGAATTTTACTAGGTGTAATGCTCCTGTAAAAAGAGTCCCTATAAATCCTCTTAATAAAAATGCCCTACTACTAATAAAAGTGGCAAAAGGGCAAAAATACAATCTTCCACTTCCTCCTGTTCACTAGGTTGTGTACAAGCGTGCAGACATGGCGATCGGCTCTCTCACTATCAACGAGGAGAGGTCAGAGGTCGTGGACTTCTCTGTGCCCTTTGTGGAGACTGGCATCAGCGTCATGGTCTCTCGCAGTAATGGAACTGTGTCTCCCTCTGCATTTCTTGGTGAGTTTGCGTCTCATGTGAGCCATAATGCTTCATCATATTTGACTTTAATCAGTCTCTGCTGCATGTGATTATGATGTATGACTTTCCAGGTACTGGTGCATATCATTTCAGAGCTCATCAATCAGACTTACAGTTCCCTTTCAAAACAAACTATTCATCACACTTCAGTGAGAAGCACTAAATCAACATTTTTCAAACAGACTCAATGCTGTAGATTTATTTTATTTTATTTTAATTTATATTTTATTTTACTTTAGAGCATGGAGCTAGCAATGTCAAATTAATGAGTTCAATTCGCAGAGATTGCATGTACAGATAAAAATATATACTGTGCACTGAAGTGAAGTTTAAGTCACTAAAATCACTATAGTTGCTATAGTAAAAGTCGCTTGAAGTGTCTGCCGAATGTCCATTTTATTTAATTTTATTTAATTTTATCTTATTTTTATTTTTATTTTATTTTAAGAGCATAGCACTAGCAAAGTCAAGGTCATGGGACCAATTTCCAGATAAAAACATATACTGTTCCTTTGAAATGAAATTTAAGTCACTCTGAATACAAGTGTTTGCCAAATGTCAAATTTAATTTTATTTAATTTTTTTAAGAGCATAGCACTGTCAATGTCAATGATGCATGAACAGATAAAAATATATACCTTAAAATGCAATTAAAGTTGTTTTTTAATACAGGTGTCTGCCATATGGAAATGTTTTTTGTTTTGTTTTGCATGTCAATAGCAAGGTCAAGATCATGAGTTCAGTTCCCAGAAGATGCATGAACAGATAAAAATGTTTTCTTTTCACAAATATAATGCTGTTTTAAATTCCTAGTTAAGTTAAAAAGTTAATTTAATTCAACATAATTTAGCCATTTCCAAAGGTCTCCCCCAGTTCTAACAGTTGCTACACCCCTGGTATTAATTTCTGCACTGTTGTGTACAAACCAAGTAAAAAACAAAACAAAAAAAACAATACTACTAATGTTTTTGATTTCTCTCTGTCCTCTTCTCTTTCTCTGTGCCTTCTCAGAGCCGTACAGCCCTGCTGTGTGGGTGATGATGTTTGTAATGTGCCTGACCGTGGTGGCAGTGACGGTTTTCATCTTTGAGTTCTTCAGTCCAGTGGGGTACAACCGTAGCCTTCAGAGTGGCAAGAGTGAGTCCAGTTTGCTCTTAGTCCTGCACATAACCTTTTAATAAGGTCAAACTTTAGTAGCCTCAAGCGTTATATTTTAAAGGAGATAAATGTGCAGTTGCTTGTCACTGAGTTTATTCAGAAGTCCTAATGGCTGAGTTCACCTTTGTTCTTTATTGGCCTGGACGAGCGCTTGATATTTGTGGTGCAGGCAGTTTTGCAGACACTCATGTATAATAAAGGACTGCAGACTTGTGTTCTGTATTCCTCTCCTTCCTCTGTTCTCTTCTTCATCCTCTGGCACCGGCACCCCTTTCTCACATCATCATCTGCATAGGAGAAGCCTATTTTTTTTATCAGTTTAGCAGTTTTGATACTTTTTAGTTTGTTTTGAGCTGATGAATAATTAAAGTGCTTTTAAAATTCAAGTCAGTGTTAAAAGTCTTTCTTACTCTGTTTCACTTGATCTTCTCTGTCAGAGGCCGGAGGTTCTAAGTTCACAATAGGGAAGTCAATCTGGCTTCTTTGGGCTCTGGTCTTTAATAACTCCGTTCCAGTGGAGAACCCCAAAGGAACCACTAGCAAGATCATGGTTCTTGTCTGGGCTTTCTTTGCTGTCATCTTCCTGGCTAGCTACACTGCCAACCTGGCTGCCTTCATGATCCAAGAGGAATACATTGACACTGTGTCCGGCCTCAGCGATAAAAAGGTAAAGGAATAGGGGTTTCAGAGCTTCTGTAGATGCAGAGAAAGCTTGTGTTTATCAGTGCATGTAGATCGGCATACAGTATAACGTTTTCATAATTTGTGATGTTATGTTGACATGGATTTCGGGATGAATATTCTTGACTACTTCAAAACATAAGACTACAGAGACTAGAGTGGGATTGGAAAAATGTGAGATTGACATTAGTTTAAATTGGCTACTAAGTGGATGAACAGCATGAAGAAACGTTCTCACTATTTGTCTTTTGAAGAGCTGAATGCTATTGTGTTGCATTTAAAATGTGTGCATGTGTGAAATGTTCAGTAATTTGGCATACTAGCATGGAAATGTTCCTTTGCCCTTCGCTCTCAGTGTTGACCTTGAGGAATCTGGTGAGATTCTTGAGGAAACACAGACATTTGCTGTCATGCCAAATGAATGTACTTATGTACACCAAATGAAAACAATTTGAGTTGAATTACTGAAATAAATGAACTTTCCACGACATTATAATTTATTGAGATGCACCTGTATATAGTATATAATCCTTGAGTCAAGACAAACAAAATGTCTATCCTATATTTAATTTTCTTTGGTTCAAAAGTCTACAACTCCGAAATGTCATATTTTCATAAAATGACAGTCGGACAATTGATGAGGCTATAAGAGTGATAAATATGAAAATGGTTGTATCTCTAATCTTTAATTGTCCTGAAATAACTGACCATCTGAAAATGCTTTATATGTATAAAAAAAAAAGAAAAGAAAAAGGACCTAAACAAGTTCCAGCATTGCTTAAACCCTGATAATAGCTGCTTGCATCTATATTTCCAGTTTAGCTTTAATTCCTTTGCCAACTCATTTATATTTCAGTTAACGGAAATACTTGTGTTTTTTTAGTTTCTGTCTCTGTAACAGTTTTCATAACAACAATAACCTTGTTTCCAACATGTTATCTAACATTTTTTGCTCTTCCACTCTCTTCCTTACACCTCCCAGCCCCATGTTGCTCTCACAAACAGGAGTTCCTTTACAATGTGTTTGCACTTTTTTTCCCTCCTCCCACACTTCCTCTCTCAACCCTTTACACCTCACACACTCTTCCTCTATTTATCATGAGTTGTTAATCCACACTGTGGTTTTCCTAAGCCTGTCATTTCCTTATCCATTTTTAGCAAAAGTGATAATATAATGCCGCCACACTACAACTTTCCTCTCTGCTCTCTTTCTGTCTGTCACCCTACTCCATCTCACGCTCTGTCTCTTCTGACTCCTACTCTTCCTGTCTGTGTTTGCAGTAAACTGGATGCCTTAATCTATGATGCGGCTGTATTAAACTACATGGCTCGTAAAGATGAAGGCTGTAAAGTAATGACCATCGGCTCAGGGAAAGTGTTCGCCACGACTGGTTACGGCATCGCCCTGATCAAGAACTCCCGCTGGAAACGGCCATTGGACCTGGCCTTACTGCAGCTGGTGGGCGACGGTGAGATTCTGAAGGTTCTGCAGTATCAAAGTGCTAAAATTAAGGGGATGTATATTAGTGCATTTATGCTGTTGGGATGGAGAAGATAAAAGACTTTGGGAGATTAAAGACTTTTTTATGCATATTTAACAAGACTTCATTCATTAGCCTGTACTGCTAGCTTCAAGCCATCTTGGTGTAATCCAGTTTCCTTGACATGACGCAATATGTATCTTTGTTGTCTGGCAGGTGACACTTGTCTTTGTGCTAGCAGGCTGTTTACTGATTTAAAGGAGATGATAGCAACCTACTGATGCATAAAAGAGATGGGCATGTATCAAAGATTCAGTCTTGGGAATGACAGAAGTGGTGTGCGGGAGAGAGAAATAGAGAAAGAAAGACTGTGTTGTGTTCCAAAACCTATTGAGCTGCCAAAGAGGCCAGATTTTAAGGTATCAAGCTGTGGTCAACTCTGTGCTCAGTGCTGTTTATTTATTTAATTATTGTTAGAGAAATATAATAACTTCAACAGGAATCTACTTGATCAGGAATTTCACCCAAGCAAGTTGTTCAAGGCAACACCACATGTACCTTTATAAGAAAGAACATTTTAGAATGCACTGCAAGCTCAAAGTAAAAAGGCACACAAGTTGAGAGAAACGTTGATAATAAATCTCCTTTTAAATATGAAATAATGAAATAATAAAATTCATTGCTGAAAAGTATCAATAAAAATAGTTCAAATTTATAATTTTATCGTGTGCTGTGAATTGTTATGCTTATTAGAGCGTCACGTCATTAGCTTAGCAACATGCTAACAGCAAACTATTGTGAGTTGTTTCTCCTGTGCTATTTGTATGGTGTACACAAAGCATTGCAAGTTCCAAACTGTTCACTTAGAATGTTCCATGACAGTGAGGATACTGTCTTTGAAGGCGGTTGCCTGTGTAGGCAGCAGCTCACTAGGTTTTGGAACCAAGCTATTGTGTGCTATAAGTGAGATGTGTGTATTGAGTGACTGTCCATTCTCACACTCTGTAGAGGATTAGCTGTTACGGATTTGCAGTGTCAGAGTGGAACTCATCTGATTCAAATTTGCTTGTCCAAGTACTAATTCTTTAATTGTCATTTATACACCCTCCTCCTTGCCTTCACCCAACACACACATACACAAACACGTATACACACTAGCTTTCACAGTGTTTTGTTTCAATTGGTTGGTTTATTTGATTGCTGTTTAAATCCTCTTTGGCTTTTGGTGTGTCAGAGAGAGAGAGAGACTGAAAGAATGTGTATGTACGCCAGGTTCCCACAGTGAGATTGTCACACTGGTGCCAGGTTCCATTAGCTAACACCACCGCTTAACAGCAGAGAAGATTTACATGTGCAATGAACAGTGACTTTTTTATTCTGGAAGGTTCTATTGAAGGTATATCAACTCAACGTAAAATATACTATTCTTAACTGATAAAATTGCAATCCAATCAATTGGCTCTAAAGCTTGAATGTGTGAGAAGTTACTACAGAGGTTTTTTAACAATTTTTACTTTTATGTTTCTGTAGAGCCTTTAAAAACCACAGGAAACCACTTGTCCATCTGCAGCATTTTCGTGTCTTTTAAACGCTGCAGGTAACCTTATTGGTCAGTGCCACGCAAAAGCACTTCTTACTTGCTAAAAGCCTGTGTTATTTTATCTCAGGGCCAGCAGATTTCTTTGCAGTGGTCATCTCGAATAGAAGTCCTTTCACCTACTAACAATTCCAAGGACTTATTACAGTGGTCAGAGAAGCCGTGGCACTTCTGATTTGTTTATAAAAGTGTTGACCTTTAAGGCTGATCCAAGAGCAGTGTTTGCTTTAGCGTGATATTGGTTTGGGTCAGGGTGGGATCAGAGGGGGCTGCACAGGGAACGGTGTTGGAGGTCATATGCAGATGGCACAGACTGGCTGTCTGCCTGAGCTTAAAGATCTCGCTAACGCATTAACTGTTAAAATGTGCCCACTTAACCATGCCAACCCTGCGCTCCATTGCCAAACATAAGCTGTTATGGCAAGAGAAAAGGTGTGAAATTATGTGTACGTGTGTTAGAATGTGCTGTGTGCACATTTGTACTGTATGTGTGGATGTGTATTTGTAAAGCTGTGTGTGTGTGTGAATGGTGTCTGTGTGTTAGCATATAGCTGTGTGTGTATGTATGTTCCCAGTATGACACACCTGCTGAGTTTGGCTGTGGTCAGTGAAGTAGTTTGCCAGAGCCACTGGCAGGAGTCAGAAAGAGGTGAATGGACAGTGTCAACAGAGTGAGGCAGTGCTCGGATCTGAGCCGGGCTCGTGCTGTTATCTGTTCAAGCCCCATGTGGAATTCAGCCTGCGCTTCTTCGTCCTGCTTGACTGAATTTTCTTTTGTGAAATGTTTTATGTGATGTGTCTGCGGCATCTCATCTACATTGTGATTAATTCCCGCAGGTTACACTTGCTGGATAGTTTGTTTTGATAGCACAAGAGACAGATGCCATAATTCAACTTTTGTGAGAACAACACAGCTGTCATTTACAGTGTGATGGGTGATGATGTGCTTTTATTATATTACACAGCACTGTTTTGAGATGGCCCCAGCTAAGATAACGTGGTGCTGTTGGCCAGTCCTCATCAAAGCTGTAAATGCTGCAGTACATGCCTTTGTTTAATAAGGTTTGGGGTAATTCACAAGCTCGTCTTTTTGTAGATAGAAGGTGAGATTCTGATTTTCTCTTGAGTTTGCAGCAGGCCTGACCAGCTTCCAGCACAATTAAATGATTATGATCTCACCCTTTCACCGTTCTGTCTGTCCTCTTGTTTTTCCACCCGCTGCCTGTCACTTTGTTGCTCCTTCTATCTTATTTCATTTTCCTTTTTCTGTTCCATCTTTCACACCCTCGTACACACACTGAGACAACATAAACAATGCACATATACTGTCGTTTCACCCATTGCCATCTGTCTTCATACCTCTTTTTATGTTAACTTCCCTCTCTCTGAATAGAAGAGATGCTTCTGCTGTTTGTCATAATGACAAAGTCACTCTCTTCTTCTTCTCCACTAGCCTTTTCTTATTTCTCGACATCCTCTCATTTCCCATGATACAATACAGCAATGAAAAGACAAAGAACTCTGCTATCCTTCCTTTTTTGTCTTCTCATTTACCCTCTGAGGAAAAGAGGATATGGGTAGATCATTATGCAGGACCTAGCCTTTGCTAGCCTACAGGCCTCTTGCTCTCTTCCTCTTCCTTTCACTCTTTCAGGATTAATAAAGACTGCCCTCTTTGATCAGCTTCTAAACAGACCTTCACAGTAATGTTCCTTTTACCCACAGGGGCCTGTTTATTTGACCTCTGGCCTGAAATATTTTCAATATAATACTCCTAATATCTCAAATAGTACCTGATTTACTGTAGGTTTACAACAGATTTACACACATTTAGTATTAGTATCTGCTTTCTGCCACAGCAAGCATGTGGGAGAGGCAAGTCACTGCCATATTGCATTCATACATGTTTTATTGATGCATCTGTGCCAAGTAGTTGAATAACTTATTAACAGAGAAAGCAAGTAGAGTTAATGCATTGTATTTCTCTCCCCTCTCCACTTAGATGAGATTGAGATGCTAGAGCGTCTCTGGCTCTCAGGGATCTGTCATAATGATAAAATTGAGGTGATGAGCTCCAAACTAGACATAGACAACATGGCTGGTGTGTTCTACATGCTGCTGGTGGCCATGGGCCTAAGTCTGCTTGTCTTCGCCTGGGAACACCTGGTATACTGGAGGCTGCGGCACTGCATGAGCAAAATGGGCCAGTCAGGCAAACTGGACTTCCTACTCGCCTTCAGCAGGGTGAGAGAGAGAATGATTATTAGTCACTAGAAATATTTATGGGAGCATTTGGGTATATTGAGAAGGATTGTGACATGGACTATGCCTGTGGTGTTACAGATGAGATGAGAGTGATGCTTATGTAATTGAAACTGATTTGCCCATATTATCAGAATATGACTTATTTCACTATTATATCTTCATTTTTTTGTACTCTTAGGGAATGTATAGCTGCTGCAGTTTTGAAGATGAAACTGCACAAGGTGGGGCTAAAGTCACAGTTCCTGGCCACCATCACACTGCCATGGTCCCTGCTTCTTCATCACATGTGGTCACTTCAGCTGTATCCACTCCAGCCATTGCCATGGTGCAGCAACAGCAGCAGCAGCTGCAACCACAACAGCCTCAACCTCCTCAGTCTTACAAAACACCTCTTCCTGGATCCCCTCCCACAATTGTTCATTCTGGAGCAGCCTTGGGTCCCACAAATACTCAACTTGTAGGAGCTCCACTACCATGCACTACTTTCTTACCCCGGCCAGATCGCAGGTTGGCGGTTGTGGACCGCTGGAGACTACCCAAAACCGCTAATGCCACAGCCTCCATGGGTGTGAGAGGAGCCCTAGCAGAAACAGGACCCCTACCCCAAAAGGGGGCACCTACCTGGGCAAGTGGTGGAGGCACAGGTAGTGGTCTAGATGGATATAAGCGCTACTATGGACCTATTGATCCAGAGGGACTTGGGCCATGTGTGGACCAACAGACAGGCTCTCAAACTCCAAAAACAGTCCCCAGAGCCCACCAACAACCCCCACCAACTAGTGTGGCTTTCTACCAGGAGAAGGGCATGGACCATGGCATGGGGAAGAAGGTGGGAGCGGGTACTGGTGGAGGGGGTCAGGGTAGAGGGGTTAAATCTCTGGGGACTCCCAGGCTTCCTCCTAAAAGCCAGGCCCCAGCCTCACTGACACCTAACCCCCCACTGCAGCACCCCTCTCCCCCTCTCCCTTCATCCTTCTGGAGGAAACGGCGACCAAAAAAGCCCAAAGAACCTGGTGGCCCATTATACGAGAACATCCTGCCACTAGGCCGGAGAGGTGGAGGCAGGGAAGCGAGTCGAAGACTAAGACCCTCTCCTCCTCTACCCATCCCTGTGCCAGTCACACTTTCCCCAAGCTACACTCCTCCATCCCCCTCTCCCTCATTCCCCTACACCTCCACATCATCATCCTCATCCACCACCAGCTCCTCAACCACATCTTCAGCCACATCCTCACGCTCCACTTCTCCTTCATCCACTTCCACAGCTTCATCTCGCAGCACCCGAGACAGAGAGGCTGAGGAAGAGGATGAGGAGGATTTGGATGAGCTGACCGAAGAGTCTAGTCTTCTGCAGGGCAACAACAGAACCAGGGACCGAGAGCGGTCCATACTTTCCCCTAGATCTCTCACTCATGGACCTCCCCCTCCTATACCCCCGCGCAAACCGTGGGGCACCTTTGTAGACAGGGAGCATAAGAAGGACAGAGAGAGAGAAAGGGGTGGCAGTCAACTAGCACAGCTCCAGGAATGGTGGGCAGGATGGGCAGAGAGAGAGAGGGACAGGGAGAGAAGTGGTGGAGCCCAGGGAGATACAGAAAGGAAAAGAGAGAAGAAACGTAGGAAAGAGAGGGAAAAGGAGAAAAAGAAAAAGAAGAAGAAAAACAAAAAACGAAAAAAGAGGGAGGAGCGTGAAAGAGAAAGAGAAAGAGAGAGGAAGCGTCGCAAGGTGAAAAAGAAGAAAAAGAAGGCAATGAAAACAGAAAAGAAGAAGAAGGTGTCATCCGGCAAGCGGTCGGAGCCAGAGGAGGGTGATGTTGAGGCAGAGAGAGATGGAGAGGGGGATGGGGATAGAGAAGGAGAGTACTCATCATTTTCCACTCAATATCGCAGTACTTTTGTCGACAAAGGCAGCCTTTCAGCTTGGGAGAGAGAGAGAGAAAGAGGGAGGAGAGATGGAGGTGAGGACGATGGGGACGAACATGAGGATGAGAGTGGGGGAGGTAGAGGTAGACAGAGAAGACCCAAGAGCTCCCATTCACGACACCGGCCATCCAGTAAACGCTATCCCAACCTCAACAAACTCCCCTCTTCAGTTAAATTCTGGGTCAGTGGAGGTGAAGCAGTTGGCACGGAGGCCTCCGGACCCTCCCCTCCCTCCTCTTTACATACACTCCTCTCCTCATCCAAGAGACGGAGGAGTAGTGGGGTAGAGAGAGAGGAAGAAGGGAGAGTAGGAGAACGCAGGCCACTGCTTCTCCACAATGAAAGGGGGCGAGTTAACCCAAGAGAAGGCCTGTCCTTCCATGAGTGGGACTCTGAGGATGAGGAGAAAGAAGAGGAGAGAGAACGAGAAAGGGAGAGAATAGAGGAGAGAGTGCGGCAGGCAGGGAGAGGGGCAGTATCAGAGTCTGAGCGGGATAGAATAAGAGCAGAGGAAAGCTTTTCTGATGAGGGGTCCTCAGGAGAGTTTGGCTGTTTTGAGAGATACTGGGAAGGAACTGGAGCGGGTGGAGCTAGTGGAATTGGGGGTGGGGGCTGGTTTTTTGGAACATACCCTGCTCGAGAAAAAGGTGGAAGTGTCAACAGTAGAGATGACTCTATTTTGGGTCGGGCTGAAGGATGGGGTATGGCAGGTGATTTTTGGGGTTCGGGTCCAGGAATTGGATGGGGATCTGGAGGAGGCAGTGGAGGGCTGGCTTCACAGTGGCCACCCCCTCCCACTTCTCTGCCACCCCCACGACGCTATTGGTCTGTCGACAAACTACAGATGAAGGGTGAGAAGCGAAGTCGCAGTGGGTCAAAGAGCAAAGGTCAGAGGTCTCGGGATAGAATGCAAGACCCAGCATCATGTACTTGTACACAGTATGGGCACGGTAGGCCCCATGTACACCACAAACACAGCAGCACTCAATCTCACAGCCAGGACGATCTGCTTCCCCACTGCCACAGCTTCAGTGGAAGCTCTCGGCTCAAACCACCCCCTAAACCTGACAAATCCAAATCCGGAAGTCAGTCCAACCTAAACTCCCAGCAATCCCAGCTCTCAGAACACATACCCCAGCCATCACCCTCCCCACCTCAGCCACTCTTGCCCTCATTACCTGTACCTTCTGCTCCCAACTCCCTACCCATGCCCATTCCTCCACCTACATCCTCTGCATCCATGTCCCCTCCACCTGTGCTCTCTCCTGGGGCTGCTTCCGGCTCCTCCCAGGCAGCCACCGCCAGTGCTAAACTTCAGTACCAGAGACTTCGGTCTGTGCCCCAGCCAAGGCGATTCTACTCCCCACACCTGCCACTCAAAGCCAAGAGCTTGTGCTCACGCCGTGGTTCTGCCCATTTCTCCAGCCTAGAGAGTGAGGTATGACACGGGGCTTCGTTGCTGCGCGTGTGTGTAAGCTCTACTGTGAAGCGCAGCTGGAGTGTGATGCACATACATGCGCCGCACCAAGATGAGGAAAATGTCCACGACAGTGACCAGGGCAGCAAAGAAACAACAGTCAAAGCAGGGAATGGCTCAGCAAATTCCGCCACGGTCACAATGGATACTCCAGCCGTGCTCCATCTTCGGTCTGAGCTGAGTATTATGATGTCCTCTGTGCTCCTCTCCTCCAATGAGAACAGTGGATAGCAAATGTCTGGGATTTTTCTGTAAGTAATGATGTCATGTTTACACATAAACACTCCCTCAAACAAGGAAAATACATTTTTGCATCGTCCACATACAACATGTGACGACAGACATCAAATACTGCTGTGGCTCAAACTGGCTATTCAATTTATTTACAGATGACTCAGAATTAATCTGTATTCAACCTGAATGCAGTCTTGGAGCGGCTCAGATGATCAGCATCATCCCACTGACTGAAAAAGTGTCTCCATGGCAACCTGGTGCACATAGATACAGAAATGTCCTATTTTCTTTTCTTTTCTTTTCTTTTCTTTTCTTTCTTTTTTCTTGACACTTGCAACATTGATGTTATGCCATCAGTACCCTTTGGCTTCCAATTTAAGGTCATGCTGGAAATGTATTAATTGAAATTTGACCTCAGAGTAAACAAGAGTAAACTATGTCACTCTTTCTGTATTTCTGATTCCAAGCTAATCAGAACTTACATGGAGCCATTTCACTCATCAGAACTTTTGTTGTCCTATCAAAACTCCAATGCCATGGTGTCACTTTGACATCAAATAGAGATGAATAGAGATTACGTTTTGTTCTAAAGAGACATACTTCAAAAGAAAAACAATAAGAACAAACAATACAAAAATGTAGCAATTTTTCCTGTACAATGTTTTCCCTTCAGGTTTCCTTTTGTTTTATGCTATTTATTGCTCTCACTGTGGTTGTATTTTAACAAAAGGGTAAACCAGCTGTGTCTGATGTTAAATAGTGGGATTATAGCTGCGAAGACAATTTATTTGTTTTACTAAGTTATTTATTTGTTTTGTTAGCAGAATTTTCAAATTGTCACAACTAGATCCACGGCACTGCCCAATAAGATGGTCCTTTCTTTGCATACAAGCAATACTTGTCTTTCATCAAACGATGATGGGTTGCAATATTTATGATTGGCACTAGATGGCTACATAATATTAAAAACTGTACGTTAACGATTATAAATGGTGGACCATGAGTGGATTCTGCTTGTTGTTTTGTTCCTTAATCATCATGCTTTAGAACTGGAACAGACAGCTTACAGTGTTTCTGGGATGGTAAAGGGCATTGTTTAGAAGAGCTGAGGCTATCATTGTCACGGATTGTGCATTTTCAAGTCAAGCCTACTTCCAGTGCAGAGTTGCATGTAATAAAGCACAAGTTGCTGACTCTTGTCAGTGCAAACATTAACATATGATAATGAGGAGTCAAGGACAAACACAATACTGATCGATTTTTAGCCAAAAGCATCCTACACCATTTATTTTTGCAAAAGAATTGATGTCAGTCATACAGAGATTCAGTTTCTGAATACCTATTTGATGTCAGGCACCGCTTATTTGCCCATGTTGTAGTTGAATGTAGCTTTGAAATGATTTAGCAAAAAGTAGATATTTGGTAGATTTTGTAGCATTCTGGATGCAGTTACACATCACAAGAAGTGACAGTTACACTTTTATTATGGGGGGCATAGAGGGATTGTACATGTTGTCACAGATCAACAGATTAATTTGCCCTTTATTTGATACACCTGTTCATGTGGAAATAAGTGATGTTTGTCTCCCTTTCATGTCTTGTTTAAACAAGACCACCTGGGGAAGGTTTGTCATAATTTGCAATGAAATTTAGGGCTTTTCCACTTTTTAAAGTCCCACATGTCATCGCATGAGTCAAGAAATAACAAGCTCAGGTATTGAATTGCGTGTTGTGTAAACCGAATCACACACAGCCGCTTAATCCCCTCGATCAGCATTTCTTCCAATGCCGGGAATACGAGTGTGTCAGCAGAAAGTCTACCACACCCGGCATGGAAACGCAGCGGGGGGGCAAGGAGATGGATGTAGAATGATTGAATTAATATAGTGTGCCATGAGTACACTTGATCTGTCATTGACCCTTACTGAGTCAGAAGGCGCTAACACAGTATTCTGTGACTGCATGTACAGAATGGATTTATAATTCCCATGTAGCTTTTTTTTTTTTTTTTGAGGACAAAAAGAAATATTATCTCTATATACTGTTTTTGGGAATGTATCATGTTATACTGTGAATTGACTTAGATATTTTATTGCCCATTGTATTCAGTTTTCATTGCCATAATATCATTTATCTATACAAAATATATATGTACAAATAAATATATACATATATATATACAGACAGGTATATATAATAAGTTAAGTTTGATATACTTGGAGGAAGTGGTAGATATAGTTTTAAATGTTTTAGCTTTGTAGCAATTCTAGACTCTGGAGACATTTTTGAATTTTGATTCCTCCTATATGACTGTGAAAACATTAGTGCCTGTGAAGAAAAAACGAGAAACAAGTCTAATATCCTTTCATCCATCCATTCTTCTGTCCATCTTTTCATTATTTATAGCAAATCTTCACAATTACTCTATATATATATATATATATATATATATATATATAAAATGAGTTAAGTTTGATATACTTGGAGGAAGTGGTAGATGTAGTTTTAAATGTTTTAGCTTTGTAGCAATTCTAGACTCTGGAGATATTTTTGAATTTTGATTCCTCCTATATGACTGTGAAAACATTAGTGCCTGTGAAGCAAAAACAAGAAACATTCTAATATCCGTTCATCCATCCATTCTTCTGTCCATCTTTTCATCTCTTCTCATTATAGCAAATCTTCACAATTACTCTAATACTACCTAAATAGCTTTCAGATCATTTTTGTTTTATGTCTTTTGCCCATGTTGTGTTGTGTCCTTATCACTGTCTGTCCTTTTGACATTCTGCCATTCCAGCTTTCCATCTAGCCAGTTAGTATTCCATCATTCCGACCATCCATCCATTCAGCCACCCATCAGTCCATCAGTCTAAGGACTAACTGCTGATTTCTTCTTATTCTGTAGTTTTGTCATTATCATTTTCGACAGTACCACTGATTAGGGAACTTAAACAATGTACCTCTGGCATTTTCGTTTTTTAGATATTTTTTAATCTCTCTGTTTATCCCTCTGTATGTTCTCTCAGTTAGCAAAAAACAAAACGAGAAAAAAAAAACAGAGACCAGTAGCTACTGTGTTCCTGCTCCTATCAATTGATTATTGGAGATAATGATCGATTAAAGTTATGATGTAATTGATAAACGACTGAAAATGTGACTGAAGAGTTGTACCTGATGACCATGACACTGTAGTGAGAGTCTGGGCTGTACTGTACACAACTCACTGTTACTGTGCTGACTAGATGCATGATGGGTAATGTGTGTAACTGTAAAATAATGTTGGCTTACTGACTAATGTTGGTTAGGCGGTACATAATGTAGGCAATAGATATGTCATCCCATCGCCAAACAAACAATCACCAAAGGCTTCATCCACTCCCCTCGTCTGTTTAGACTGGTGACCTGACTGTGAAATAGACAAAGTACAGGGTTGGATATTGTTGCTAGAATTGTCAGTGGTGGTCAATATTTGGCTGGGAAATTAAAGTCACATATTGTGTTAAGGGCTGGTCAGCTGCTATTTTAGATTCAGTGTGACTGCTTGTTTGTATGTTTGAGTGTCAGTACATGAGAGAGAAGCCTAGTTTTCTTTTCAACCCTGATGCAACCACACTGATGCATTACGTGTGTGAATATCATTTGCTATCAGTAATTCTAGGTTTTACCATTTATTTTAATTGAGTCTGTGCCCAAAATTCGGGAATAGCATCATTTAAAAAAATTATGCACATCTGATACATCTTGTATGTTAATTTGCTGTTCAAGTTTGGAGTCAGTGATTTTTTATTTTTTTTTAAGAATTCATACTTTTATTCATTATTGATCAAAAGTGACAGTAAAGGCATTAACTGTATATTGTTACACAATTCTGTTTCAGATAAATGCTTCTCTTTTGAACGTTCATCAGAGACTCGAATATTAAGCTGCACAACTGTTATCAGTATTACTCAAATATTATTTCCTGAGCACCAAATAAGCATATTAAAATGATTTCTGATGTGACACTGAAGACTGGAGTAATGACTTCTGAAAATTCAGCTTTGCAATCACAGTAGTAAATTACATTTTACAATAGAAAACAGTTATTTTAAACTGTTATAATATTTCAAATATTACTTTTTACTGTATTTTTGATCAGATGAATGCAGCCTTGGTTGATTGTGGGATGTTAAAAAACAAACTATTAAAAAATTTTACTGACCTTAAACTTTTGAACGGTATTGTATTAAATGATAATCTTTCAGCTACCAATAGGTGTTTAGAACTCTGATTTTCACCTTTAAAAGCAGTCCTCATATTCCATTTGGACTTGCCAATGAGTGATGTAATGAATGGTCTGTACTCAGTGAGTGAACGAGAGAGAAAAGAGAGACAGATTATATGCAGGTTTGTACTGCATATACAGCTTTGTAAGTGTTTCATTATTTATGTGGTGATTGTGCATGTGAGAGAGAGTATGGTGCGCATGCATTATAAATACACCAACACAAAGTCTCTATCTGTCTCTCTTTTCCTTCGTACCTCTCTATCAGATTATTCAGCTGTTTCCTCTCACTCCTTGGGCTGCTATAATGCATAATTCAGGACTCTCACTCAGGACAGACAGACACACACACACACACACACACACTTGCTGCAGCTTCATGGATACCAGAAATCCTGCAGGTGTTCTAGAACTTTATCTTGCTCTCTCTCCCCCTTAGGAGCTTGAGACTCATAGAGTAGCTCCAGGTAGCTGTTGGCACCATGATGTGAGACATTACTTGACAGGTAGCTCGACGGATAAAAGTGCAACTCTTCCCTCTTGATCACAGCTGAGCAGAGATCAGTGTGTGTGTGTGTGTGTGCATGTGTGAAAGCAGGTCAGCCCCTGTGATAGACCACTACATGCTTTATTTTGCCTACTCTTATTCCACAAGCTGCTGCTGTACACCAACAATAATGTCTGAGATTCAAGGCTGGAAATTCACTCTAGTGTTGCTTTCTCACGCAGTGAATGTGTTTTTACATCTTTATGTAGTGAGACCCATATTTAAACTTTGTCCTCCACGTCGCA